GTGTGTGTGTGTGTGTGTGTGTGTGTGTGTGTGTGTGTGTGTGTGTGTGAGAGAGAGAGAGAGAGAGAGAGAGAGAGAGAAAAGAAACCCCACGATCCAGCGAAAAGGAGGATCTTAAACCTGCTTGCCATTCTGTTGCCGCTGGGTCTGGTTGAAGCGGAGCCAGAGGCGCAGTGACTGTGTGTGCACACTGGGTGGCGCCAGAGCGCTCCGTCCCCAGAGCCTTCGTGTCCAGCATCCGCCCAGGGTTGAGATTGACGCACACACGGGTGCCCAAGGTCCTCCTTTCTCTTATCAACAATTTTGAGCCAGGAGAGGGGCTGACAAGCAGGAAGGAGCTGGAACCTTGCCTAATACATTCATTATGCCCTAGGAAGTTCAGAGGACCTGCTGCAAGCGCCTTTGTTTTAGGAAAACATCACTGTGCCCAATATCCGTGAGATCCTTGTTTATAGCTTATAGGTGTAACCTCATCACTGTGTTATCATTTGTTCTTTTTAATTTTTTTTAAAGATTTTGTATATTTATTTGACAGATCACAAGTAGACAGAGCAGCAGGCGGTGGGTGGGTGGAGGGGAGTAGGCTCCTTGCTGAACAGAGAGCCCGATACAGGGCTCGATCCCAGGACCCTAAGATCATAACCTGAGCCGAAGGCAGAAGCTTTAACCCAATAAGCCACCCAGGCGCCCCTCATTTGTTCTTTTTCAAAAAAATTTTTTGGAAGCCTGGGTGGCTCAGTTCCTGGCATGCCTCTCTGCCTGCTTGTGATCTCTGTCAAATAAATAGAATCTTTTTAAAAAAATTTTTTAACATTTTGTTTGCACGTGAGAGAGAACAAGCACGAGCAGGGGGAAGGGGCAGAGGCAGAGGGAGAAGCAGGCTCCCCGCTCAACAAGGAGCCCAATGCAGGACTTGATCCCAGGACCCTGAGAATCATGACCTGAGCTGAAGGCAGATGCTTAACCAACTGAGCCACCCAGGTGCCCCTGTTACTTTTTTTTTTAAAGCCCTTAATTCATACTACAACTGTTGACTGTGTCTTCTTGAAATAGATTTGCATCTGTGTGGATTATCCTTTTAAAAAAGAGGAAACATGCTTACTCTTGGAACGCTGCTACCCCAGTAAGCCAGCCCATACCCCAGTCTTGCCAGTTGCAGGGTTGGAAGATGTTGCCAGAAAGGACGAGGCATTTTCCTTTCCTAGCCTCCTTTTTTTATTTGTTTCCCTTTGCCTCCACTCTCCGTTCTAGTTTCTTTCCTTCATTAATTAACTATAAAAGAAGATGAAAGAAATTGTGGATATGGTAGCACAAAAAAAGGCATCTGAAAATGAAATTCACGTGGCCAGAACCTTTCTTACGAGGATTCTGAGGAACTCTATGAGGTACAATTTGGTTTTCAGTCCCTTTACTTCTGTGGTGTGATGAATTTGTCTCTTCTGTGGTTTTGTTCATGGGGAAACTCCTGAAGTCAACACATTCCACATGTCCGTACCCAGAGAGGCACATTTTGAGGTCTTTTCTGTGTTCTTGAAGGGGATGTAGGCTGTCCAGAGCGAGCAAGTTCTTTTTTTTTTTTTTTTAAGATTTTATTTATTTATTTGACAGACAGAGATCACAAGTAGGCAGAGAGGCAGGCAGAGAGAGAGGGAAGCAGGCTCCCTGCTGAGCAGAGAGCCCGATGTGGGGCTCGATCCCAGGACCCTGGGATCATGACCCGAGCTGAAGGCAGAGGCTTTAACCCACTGAGCCACCCAGGAGAGCAAGTTCTGTGCCACACGGGAGAAGCGGAGAGTGGGAGCACCAGGTTGGTGGGCCGCCTGCTCACGCCGCAGCCTTCTCTCGGAGGCTGTCAGGTTTTCACGGCAGCCCTGCGGACTTCCGACTCCGGTTCCTTTCCCACACCCAGGCAGTGCAGCCAAAACACCAGTGCGCCCGCCGCGGGGCGGTGGGGACCGTGGGGTGGGAGCCCGGGCAGGGTGGGTTGCCGCCTGTAGGTGTAGGACCTCACGTTCCCGGAATGGGGACCCTTAGCCGACTTCGCAGACACTCCGAGGGGCCCAGGGGAGTGAACACACGACCGCAGGTCTTTGTTCACGTAAGTAAGTGTCTGTGTTTCCTGGGTCAAGTGAGTAAGTCGCGGCGGCCTAAACTCCGCACGACCTGGCGGAGCTGGGCACTGTCGGAGCTTCTCTCGGGCGCGGTCCGTGTTCCGCAGGGAGGCCGAGGGTTGTGCGCACAGCAGTGCAGAAGCAGAGACGGAAGAGTCTGTCTGCGGTCGTGCTGGTGGCCCAGGGGATGGCAAGATTGATTTACTGCTGTGAATAGATGTTGGAGAATAAGGGTTAATTCACATTTGGAAGCTTGAGATTGTCTCTGCGTTAGCGTGAAGTTCTGTATTAAGAAACATTTCACACACCTTGTTCATGTCCAGATCCAGTGGGAAGCACCTGGAGGCGATGCTCTGAACCGGGCGGAAGTCACCGTGACTTCTTTCCACGTCGCACTTCTGTCTTGGCACAGAGTTGTCCTTTGTTCAAAGTCCCTGAGCCGTTTTACGTTCTTTTTCAGGAAGAATGAGGTGATCTGGAGGCCTCACTCCTGGCATGCCACCAAGTTCTCCGACAGCCACCCCGAGACGGCAACAGCGCCGTTCCCCACCGCCAGCGCCTGCCCTTCTTGGCACGGCCGACACCACACCAGGTAGGCACGCGTTTCCCACCGGGATGGGCGGTGTCCATCGCTTCCCAGCCTTGCCACGAGAGCACCTCTCTCCACTTCAGAACGGTTTCATGTTTCTGATGAGGAAAAGCCACTAGCACACCATTACTGGTAAAACTTGCCAAGTTTTTCAGAGTAGGGAGGTGTCCAACCTTTGGGAACAAAACCTGAAATATCAAGAGCAAGGATGAGTACGTGTGCGTCCTTCTTGCGGTGCTCAGTCCATCAGCAGCCTGGGAGCTGGGCTTCTTGCCTGAAGGCCGCTGGGCCAGCTGCCGACCTGACTGGGACAGCAACCATGCCACCCACTTGCCCACAGCCACCGCCATTCTTTTGAGATTTTTGTGCCTAGATTGGAAGACAGGCGCTACCTACAGGTTCGGCAAGTGTAGCTCACCGAGGCTCCCAGACAGTCCTGGGAAGCATCAGCACCCTGTCCCCAACGCCCAGGCTCTCCTGTGGCTGGGGACAGAGTAAACCAGGGCTTCTCAGCCCACACGCCAGGCTGGCAGCCAGCCTTGAGAGCCCAGTGGTGGTTCCCACTAAGTGTGAGACCAAGATGGTGGGAGCTGTAGGTCAGCAAAAGGAGGGGGTGTTCTAGTCGACCTGGCGTCCACATATCAGGTGCAGAAGTGCTGCTGGATGAGGTACGCATGTGACAGCCCCACAGCGGTATTGGCTTGAGGAAACTCCAGCTAGGCACACATCCTCTTGGGTCAGCCCCCAGCGTCATCACAAGTCTCGTATTAAAAGGATGATGGTGACAACAAGTAGTGTGGGTTTGGGTATGTGTGAATGCACGTATGAGTGTGTATGTCTGTGTGTGTAGGTGTATCTGTGCATACCTAGGATGTGTGCACATGTGTGTGCGTGTGTGTGTGTGTGTGTGTGTGTTTGCGAGTGTGCGTACATATCTATTCTGTAAGTGCTTTTGTGCCTGTGTGTGTGGAGGTCATGTAACCGCCTCAAAATCAATATATTTTTTAAAGATTTTATTTATTTATTTGACAGAGAGATCACAAGTAGGCAGAGAGGCAGGCAGAGAGAGAGGGGGAAGTAGACTCCCCGCTGAGCAGAGAGCCTGATGTGGGGCTTGATCCCAGGACCCTGGGATCATGACCTGAGCCGAAGGCAGAGGCTTAACCCACTGAGCCACCCAGGCGCCCCAAAATCAATTTTTAAAAAAAGATTTATCTATTTAGGAGCGAGAAAGTGAGCGGAAGTGTGCACACGTGCACAAGTTGGGGGCAGAAGGAGAGCAAGAATGTCAAGCAGTCTCCATGTGGCGTACAGAGCCCACGTGGGGCCCGATCCCAGGATCTGAGATCATGACCTGAGTGAAACCAAGAGCCGGACGCTTAATTGACTGAGCCACCCAGACGCCCCTTGGGATCTGTTTTTGATTTTTAGCAAACACTGGTTTGCTGTAAAATCATGCAGTGCTTTTATGAGGAAAGACATCACAAATACATTATCTACTCGAAGTGACGAGAGACCGTGGTGTTTGCAGTCCAGGGTGTTTTTGAGAAACCACAGGTTCTCAGCTGCGTACTAAGTTCAGTGGAAAGTGGGCCTTGCCTTTCGTTACTGAGGTGACGTAATGTAATAGCATGTCCATTCAGCCCCTTTGGTGGTTTCTTTTTTTTTTTTTTTAAAGATTTTATTTATTTGACAGAGATCACAAGTAGGCAGAGAGGTAGGCAGAGAGGGAGAGAGGAGGAAGCAGACTCAACACTGAGCAGAGAGCCAGATGTGAGGCTCGATCCCAGGACCTTGGATCATGACCTGAGCTGAACGTAGAGGCTTTAACCCACTGAGCCACCCAGGCGCCCATCTTTGGTGGTTTCTTGATTAAAGACACACATATGCTGCCCACATTTGTGTGGAAGCGGTGCTGAGCCTTGTTCCTATCTGCCAAGACTGAAGTCCGCATGGGGAGAGCACCCTCAGGGCACTGGGGCAGGACGGAGTGGATGGTGCTCCGTGTCTGAGGGGCACCTGCTGTATCCATCCAGGTAAGGGTGTAAAACCCCCACAGTCCCCTCCCTTCAGGAAAACCTCCCTGTCCCGGGGAGCCATGAGACCTTCAGAGCATGTAGGTATAATCCCTCTCATTGTGTTTTCATTTGTTTTGTTGCTGTTGTTGTTAAGAGTCATTTCGCCGGTTCAGTCTGCTCGCTGTGTTGACACGGCTTGCTTTCTTATCCTGGTTCTCCCCAGACCTAAAGTCGGCAACAGTTGTGGGCAGTAGGTTTTGTTTTTTGTTTTTCTGTCCTCGAAGCCTGAAGGTTCCAGCTCTGTTGAGCTTTCATGAAAGTGATTTCAAGGCTGGATAAAGAGCTCGCCATGGAGGGCCGTTTGGCTCCCCTGTACTGTGACTGCCTGGTAGAACGCGGACTTCCGTGATGAGCCGTCACCCAGCTTGTAGCGTAAGCCTGGCTTTTGCATTTCCTCCTCCTAGACCCTGTGCTAGTTGAAAACCGGAATGTTTGGTGTCCGGGTACAGCTCCGATGGACTCTGCCAGGCGTCATGAGGCCCCTGGCCCCGCAGTGTCGTGTTTTCTGAAAACTCCTGTCGCTGGAGTTCTCAATCACGTGTTGCCTTCACTGACAGGTGAAAGGAGCTGATGGTACTTTGAATGCTTAGGTGTGGAAAAGTCACATTATCCCTGCACCTCCTGCATTTTTAAAAATTTATTTGTTATTGTTTAGATATTGTCAGAGGAAGAGTGAGCACAGCAGGGGGAGCGGCAGGCAGAGAGAGAAGCCGGCGGCGGCTCCTCACGGAGCAGGGAGCCCCATGTGGGGCTCAGTCCCAGGACCCCGGGATCATGACCTGAGCCAAAGGCAGACGCTTCACCGACTGAGCCACCCCAGGCGCCCCTAGACATCCCCTTTCAATGTGAAAGCTGTTGTCGTTCAGTCGGTTCTTCTCTGTTAGTCATCCGAACAAAAACCCTTTCGTACGCACAACCCGGGGGTCCACAGGCCTGCTCTAGAAAGGGCCATGTAGGAAGTATTTTAGGTTCCGTGGGCCCGTGTCTGTTGCCAGTTCCCCAGCTCAGAAGCAGTCACAAACAGTGTGTACACGGATCGCCCCTACTGGGTTTTGTTTTGTTTTGTTTTGTTTTTTTAAGATTTTATTCATTTATTTGACAGAGAGAGAGAGGTCACAAGTAGGCAGAGAGGCAGGCAGAGAGAGAGGGGGAAGCAGGCTCGCTGCTGAGCAGAGAGCCCGATGTGGGGCTCGATCCCAGGACCCTGACATCATGGCCTGAGCCGAAGGCAGAGGCTTTAACCCACTGAGCCACCCAGGCGCCCCCCCCACTGGGTTCTAATCACACTTTATCTGTAAGCAGTGACATTTGAATTTCTTGTCATTCTCGTGAGTCCCAAAATGGTCTTTTGATCCCTGTGCCCCCAACCCTTTAACTGCCTAACACCCGTGCTCACAGGCTCTGGTCTGCCAGCTGCCGTACTTCGTAACGGAGGATGAAAGCGCTCACGTAGGCAGAGTCTCCCCACTGCTGACCGCTGTGTTTCGGCGACCCTGAGGGCAGGAGTGTGTACAGCGAGCACGTGATGGCATGTGTTTGGGGAAAGAGCATTGAGCGGGTCGGGCTGGGTCTTTTCAGCCTGTTGTCAGAGTTACTCTTTAAAATGCTGTGCTGGTGCCTCTCCCTCTCTCACTCCTGCCTCTGCCTACTTGTGATCTCTCTCTCTATTAAATTAAGGGGGAAAAAAATCCAAAAAGGGGCGCCTGGGTGGCTCAGTGAGTTAAGCCTCTGCCTTCAGCTCAGGTCATGGTCTCAGGGTCTTGGCATTGAGCCCCGCATGGGGCTCTCTGCTCAGTGGGGAGCCTGCCTCTCCCTCTCTCACTCCTGGGTGCCTGGGTGGTTCAGTCGGTGAGGCGTCTGCCTTTGGCTCGGGTCACGATCCCGGGGTCCTGGGGTCGAGTCTCACATCGGGCTGTCTGCTCAGCCGGGGAGTCTACTTCTCCCTCTCCCTCGGCCTGCTGCTCCCCCTGCTTGTGCTCTCTCTCTCGCTCTCTTTCTGTCAAATGAATAAAATCTTTTTAAAATAAATTTAAAAAATAATAAAATGCTGTGGTGAGGTCCCCTGTCAGGTCCCGTGACCGTGTTCTGGGAAGAGTTCTGGGCGTCTGGATGTCTCGTGCGGGCCAGCGGCATTCACTGCGCTGTGGCGCTCATCTTCCCCGTCGCTGCTCGTTGATTCTAAAGCAGACTCTTCCCTGTGCTCCTTCCCTCCTAGCTCTTCGTCTCACGACCTGTCGGGCCCGTGGGAGCAGTCGAACCTGCAGCGAACCTCGGACCATTTCAGCTCGCTGGGGAGTGTCGACAGCCTGGACCAGCCTTCCCAGCACGACCCCTCCGGACGCCTCTCCGCGGCCAAGTCCAGCAGCAGCATCGACCACCTGGGCGGCCAGAGCAAGCGGGACTCGGCCTACGGCTCCTTCTCCACCAGCTCCAGCACGCCTGACCACACCCTGCCCAAGGCCGACACCTCCTCCACAGAGAACATCATCTACAAAGTGGGCCTGTGGGAGGCCTCCAAGCTGGGCGGCAGCCGGCAGGGCCAGGCTGCCTGTGATGCTGCGGGCCTGGAGGAGAGGCTCGGGTACTTCCCAGCCCGGGTCCCCTGTGACAGCCGCAAAAGCCCCAGGCCGGAGGACAGTCCTGAGGCCAAGCTGGCCACCGCCGGGAGATCAAATTTTGGGCCTGTCTGGTATGTCCCTGAGAAGAAAAAAGCACCTTCGTCCCCTCCTCCGCCCCCTCCCCCTCTCCGCAGTGACAGCTTCGCGGCCACCAAGAGCCACGAGAAGACCCAGGGCCCTCCATTCTCAGAGGCGGCCAACGTGCAGCACTTCCTGGGCCTGACTCGGGCCCAGCCCTGCAGCGACTGGAGAACAGAAGCTGCCGATCCGTGGAGGCCGGTGCATCCCAGTGGCGGAAGAGCCGTCGGGAGTTGGGGCTGCGCGCCAGACGTCCCCCTGGACGGGGGGGTGCTGCCCTCCGACCATGGGGCCGGCGGCCTCCCAGGTGTCCCCGGCCGGCTGCAGGCCTCCCTGTCCAGCACGGATGTGCGCTTCCCGCCGTCTTCCCACGGCTGCCAGCACCCACGCCAGTACAGTGACGACAGCCCCTTCTCCCATGAGGGCCCCAGGGCCACCACGTCGCTGAGGGAACAGCCCCGCCTGGCCATCCCCGGGGGCCGCCAGGAGCCGCCTGCTGGCCGTTTCCAAGACGACAGCCCCCCTCAGGTCAGGTGGCCCGGTGCCACCAACCAGAAGGGGGATGGCGGCGGGCAGAGCCGCTACTACTGTGTGACCAGCAGACAGTGCCCGCAGGGGGGCACGCAGGCAGCGTGGCTGCACGAGGAGGCCTGGCAGCTTGACGTGGCCCCGGGCGCCCCTGAGTACCCTGCCCCCCACCCAACGGGCCAGAGGCCCCAGTGCTCCCTGCTGCAGCCCGAGGTGGCCGCAGGCCCCCCCGAGAGAGATGGGAGTGATCCGGGGGACCGAGGGGCAGAGGGCCGCTCCGCAGCACGTGAGGACGTGCGGGAATCCAGGCCCGTGGTGAAGGCCGGCGCGAGGGGCTCTGCGGGCGGCTTCGCGTGGGCCGACGGCGAGAGCAGCCAGATCTCCCGTCAGAAGACCCCCATGCTGCACTCGCTGACGCGGGAGGGGACGCGGCGGCCCGAGAACGGGCAGGAAGCCCACGCAGACAGGCCGCCCCCGACAGATGCCCCAGGGGGCAAACCGACGCGGAGGAGCGACCGGTTCGCCACCACCCTGAGGAACGAGATCCAGATGCGTCGGGCCAGGCTGCAGCAGAGCAAGAGCACGGCGGCGCTGACCGGGGCGGGGGGCGCGGCGGGGGAGGCCGCCGGCTGGGGGGCGCAGCCCGTGGCTGCCGCCAGCGCCAGCCCAGCAGGGTCCTTCATGGGCACCTACAGAGACCACGTGAAGGAGGCCCAGGCCCGGGTGCTCAGGGCCACATCGTTCAAGCGCCGTGATTTGGAGCCCAGCCCGGCCGATCCTTACGCCGGGTCACCGGAGGACCACGGTGCCGGTCCGGACCCGGTCCCCCGCGTCTGGGAGGGGGGCCCGGCCAAGCCGTCCCCGTCGGGAGCAGGTGGGCCGCACGTTCCCCGCATCGGAGGCCGCAAGCGGTTCACGCCGGAGCAGAAGCTGAAATCCTACTCCGAACCAGAGAAGATGAACGAGGTGGGGCTCTCGGGGCACGAGCGCCCTCAGCAGCACCCCGGGACGTCCGACGAGACGCTGGGCACGTTCGCCGACAGGTGGAAGTTCTTCGAGGAAACCAGCAGACCCGTCCACCAGAGGCCGGGGCCGAGCCCAGCGCTCTGTGGTTTCCTGAAGGAGAGGCTGGAGAGGTTGCAGACAGCCGGCCGCGGGTACGACGGGGCAGAGCCTTGGTTCCAGAAGCAGGCCCGCTCTACCTCCTTTGGAGAGCACCCCAGTGGTCACGGACAAGCGGGAAAGGTCGGAAAACGGGAACCGCCCCAGAGACTTGGGACGTTTGCTGAGTATCAGGCCTCTTGGCGGGAACAGAGGATAGCTCTAGAAGGCAGGAGCTCCGGGCGGTACCACTCAGCCGACGACATCCTGGACGTAGGTCTGGAGCAACACGAGAGGCCGCAGTACATTCATGGACGGTCCCGGTCATCGCCGTCCACGGACCTCTACACACAGGTAAGCCTGGGGCTGCAAAGAAGGGACCTGTCCCCCGCCTGCCGTCCTAACCGCTCGGAGAGGAGGCCCTGAAATAGAACGGCCCAAGTCAGTGTGACGTGTGCCCAGCTGTTTGAGCACCCGCGTGCTGTAGCCCTTCCGGCGTGGCCCTGTGGGAAAGGTCCCTGGGGACAAATCAGGACATGCGTGACCCCCGAAGGGCCATCTTGGCGTGCAACTCTCGAGTCCCCAGCCATCTCCTCCTCTGTCGCTACAGCTGTCTTTCCCCAGGATGACCGTGCCCCAGCCTTAACACCACACAGAGAATTTGACGGGGTGGCGGGGGCGGGAGGGCTAGAAAATGGCTGCTTCTCCTCTGAACTGGAAAGCAGTGCTTTGGGGAAAGGGGTGAGACAGGGTAGGGTGGCCTGTCTTCAAGACTTTGGGCCATTTACAATTTTTAGTGTTTGTTCTTTTTTCATTTTTTCAGGTTTTGATTTTTTTTTTTCCAAATATTTTTAGAGATTGCTCCGGGGCCGATGTAAGTTCTAACACACAGTGCATTAAACCGTTGCACTTTTCATCAGGTGAGAGTTCTGACGGTCAAGGGTGACGTTAAGCTTGCTGGAAAAGCGGAGTACTCGGAGCCATAGTCAAAGTCAGTGCCACGCTCACCCTCCCTCTCTCTGCCTGTTCCGCCTCTTAAACCTGCCTCTGTGTGTTTCAGAGAAAAGGCTTACAGGGCGCGATTCGGTTTCTTTTCCCAAGAACGAGTCGCAGGCTCGGGACACGACAGTGTGTCTGTGTGTGTAAGGAGGGCGCCCTGTTTGTCCGTGGCGCCCCCGAGCTGACAGGCCTGCCGCCGCCGCCCGTGTGGCTCTCTGTCGTAGCTGGGTCCCAGCCTGCGGCCTGCGCGGCCTGACCTCGGAGCCTCCCACGCTTGCTCAGGCTCGAGAGAAGAGCCCCGGACTCTGACCAGTGCTAGGGCTTGAGGCTTTGCCATAGCGAGCTGTCACCGGCTGTGTGCGGGCTGGTTTCTGTCTCGTTTCTGCTTGGGCTGGCTGTGTCGCGTGGCTCCACGGGCCTCCCTCCGGCCTCCCGCCCTCTGACCGGGACAGATGTGGACTCATGGTCTGATGCATTCGTTTTGACAGACCGGTTTGGAGAGCTGAGCGGGCCGGCCCCGTGGCCGAGTGTCAGCCCGGGACAGCAGGCTGCGTCACTGCCTTTGTGGTCCGGGCCCGCAGGGCAAACCCACAATGAGGGGGTTCGTAATAACAGACGTCGTACAGAAGGCGGCTCGATGACTCGGTGTCTCACTGTGCTGCTCTTGGCAGGAAGCTGCCATCGGACCGCAGCAGCCCGTGGGGGACCCTGGTGAGCGCAGAGAACGTTCCTCCGCAGTCTGGGCCGAGGAGGGACAGCCCCGTCCGAGGTAGGTGAAGTTTGGGTGTGGGGTTGCGAAGAGGACGTGTCGGGGGTGGCCTTCTTTGTGGTGTCCGGGTGCCCGGTGAACGTGCCGGGGCATGTTTGTTGCCAGAGCCGGAGCGGCCACCAGCAGCTGTGGACTGCAGCGTGCGCGGTGCGGGTGGCGTGTCCTAGGCAGAGCCCGTGGGCTGGCACTGCTGCCGGGATCAGGCTCCCCGGGCCCGAACGCCATCGGGGCGTCCTCGGGGCGCATAATGGCTACTGGGTTTGCTGGACAGCGAGCTTCTTTATGGGGAGACGATGAGAACTCCGGTGTCGCGTGCAGGAATGGAACGCTTCCTGCAGACCGCAGGATCGGGGGTGTGCTGGGCCACTCGGGCGACGTGTCCACATCAGAGTCGCCCTGGCGGGTTGTCAGGAAGGAACAAGCCAGGTTTTCTCAACGGGGCTTCTTTTCAGCCTGAAAATAGAAACCAATTCCGTGGGACCCTCGGAGGGTCAGAACATCTCACGGGATGGCGGATGTCCGAGAGCAGGGCGCGTCCGGGCCATGTGCCATACGTAGTTCTAAAACGCAGCCAGTGTGGCTGTTGAGTGGTAGTGACGATGGATGAATATACGTGGATGGGTACGTAGATGGACAGACTGTCATCTTGCCCTTGACACGCGTGAGGAGGGAGGGAGGGGAAAAGGGTAGATTGCTCTAGGACCTGTGGGGTCACCTTATTTTAAAAGGGCTGATAGAAGCATGGAAATAAATGTACACAGTTGGGTCGGTGAATGCGGATTTTTCCGTGGCTTTGAAAAATGTCTGGTGATTGGTGTGATATTCAGAACCTCATAAGGTTCGGGTGCAGAAATAACTAATTTAGATGTTTGCTTCTAAGGGCCTTCTATAAGGGGCTTTCGTTTCGTTGGGCTATAAACGTGAGTGCTGTTAGCTGTAAGCGATAGTATCCAATCTTTACGCGGCTCCGCCGGGACAAGAGTGGCATTTTGTGTAGGAGGTCCCTGCAGTTCACGGTCTGCGTGGCTGAGACCAAGCCTCCCCGGCTAAGAACGAACGCCAGGCGAATAATGCACCTACAGCACGCAGCCGTTTCTGAGAAACACAATCAGCGCTTTATTCCCAGAGCTGCAGCGTGAGTCCGCGCCCGGCCCCAGCTGTCCCCGTCTGTCCCAGCCCGCTGCCCGGCGCTGCCGCCGTCACGAGGGGGCTCAGAGCCCGCTCGCTTGTGCGGACCCCGCATGTGTCTGTGCACCTGCCCTGGGCACAGCCCTGCCTCCGCGGGGGCGTAGCCCCTGCTGTGAATGGAGGCCTCCCGGGCAACCAGCAGCAGCGCCGTGGGTGCGTGCGTGTGCATGTGCGTATGTGTGCGTGCGTGTGCGCGTGCTGTCAGCGGCACTGTCCATAGTGAGAGGCTCACTAGCAGCAGCAGGGGAGACCACAGGCTTCCTGTATCCCAGCGTGTGCACAAGCACTCCGAGGAAATTGATACCGGAGCCTTCTGCTTTCACGCTGCACAGCTGGCGATTTGTAGAATTGCGTGTGCGTTCAGAGGGTGGCGAGGCTCCTTGAAATTCCAGAACAGAAAGCCATTTTCCGCTTTTCTCGGAGAATGTTTGATTTCTCAGGTATCGGTAAGAAATCCTGTACTTAAAACATGGAATCTGGGAATAAAAGAAATGAAAATTCAGGTCAAGGACTGTCTCTTTGCCCACCGCAACAAAATCCTGTAATGCAAACATTTAAAGACGCTTGATGTTTTACATAAATTTAAAACAATATAAACGTGTATAAAAAAATAGGAATTACTAAAAATAGTCAACTCAGTCAGTACGGTGTGTGCCTCTTAATCTCCAGGTTGTGAGTTTGAGCCCCATGCTGGACACAGAGATTACTAAAAAATAAAATCTTAAAAAAAAAAAAAAAAAAAGGATTACTGATCTGATAACTGGTGCAGGATAGTGAATTTTTTTTTGAAAGATTTATTTATTTATTTGACAGACAGAGATCACAAGTAGGCAGAGAGGCAGGCAGAGAGAGAAGGGGAAGCAGGCTCCCTGCCGAGCAGAGAGCCCGATGCGGGGCTCGATCCCAGGACCCTGAGATTGTGACCTGAGCCAAAGGCAGAGGCTTTAACCCACTGAGCCACCCAGGTGCCCTGGTGAATGTTTTTCATTGTATTCTGCTGAGACAACAGAATAGAATGGAGATAAGAGTTACCTGTCCATTTACATCACATGGAGAACATTTTTGTGAGGTTCAAGATTCTGTCCTGTGTGAAGATATGGAGGACAAAGGTTCTGCTCCCAAAGGACCTCACCGTGTTGGAGGGAAGGCGAGACACCAGTGCTTACCGTGGAAGTGATGACACATAATTAGAATTTTTGTAAAATAATTATGTGGTGCTTCAGAATCTTGGAGGAAAGACGGTGAGGTGACTTCTGCCTGAGTCATGGGGAAGACAGGTGGTTTCTGAGCTGAGAGAAGGCCAAAGCCAGGAGAGCAGATCCCACTGTGTTTGCTTACTGCTAGCTTTTTCTGTGGCAAGCAGCCCCCTTTACCCACCCGCCCTGGCCTCACCCCCCAGCTTCTCCTGTTTTCTCACGGGTTTTGTACCAGCTCTCTGTGCTTAGTCATTATGACCGGCGGGAGTGTGCTTCCTGCCAATTCCCCCCCGCCCCGACTGGGGTACCTCATAAGCTGGATGGAGCAGCTCGCTCGGACTGTCCTAACCAAATGCCACAGACTAGGCAGCATCGACAATAGAAATTTATTTTCTCAGTCTTCTGGAGGCCAGAAGCCCAAGATCAAGGGGCAAAGGGTCAGCGGCTTTGGTTTCTTCCAGGGCTTCTCTTCACAACTGGCGCATCGCCACCTCCTCCCCGTGTCCTCGTGTGGTCTTCCCTTCTCTTGGTGTGTCTCTGGCCAGTCTCTTGTAAGGACACCATTGAGACTGGATGAGGATTCACCCTGATGACTTCATTTTACCTTACTTACCTCGTTAATAACCCTGTCTCCAAATAGTCACATTCTGACGTCCTGGGGGTTAGGAATTCATCTTAGAAATTTTGGGGGGAGGGGCGCCTGGGTGGCTCAGTGGGTTAAGCCGCTGCCTTCAGCTCAGGTCATGATCCCAGGTCCTGGGTTCAAGCCCCACATCGGGCTTTCTGCTCAGCAGGGAGCCTGCTTCCTCCTCTCTCTCTGCCTGCCTCTCTGCCTACTTGTGATTTCTCTCTGTCAAATAAATAAATAAAATCTTAAAAAAAAAAAAAAAAGAAATTTTAGGGGGATACAGTGACTCCATAACCCTGGGGGAAATCTCCTTTCTGCCTTATACCTTGGAACCAGTGTTTCAGCTGCCTCGGTGCTTTTGGAAAGTGTTATCCTGTCATTGAGCTGCTGAGGTCACACCTGATGTGGGGGCATTTAAAACAAAAGGAAGAGGGAGGCTGCCATGCTCGGTGAGTGTGGCTGGTGAAGAGGGGAGTTCAGCTAAACCTCTCTGGAGGGCTTTTGGGGGGCACATAACTGAAGCCTTGCTGTTGCAGGCACCTTGTGATTCAGTGATGGCACTGTTAAGCGTTGACCTTCCGAGTATGTGGCCGTGGTGTGAGGTGGGGACTCGGACTCTCACCTGGGAGATGTGTGCTTGCACCTCTTCTTCTTCTCACAGAGCCACCCCTACGCGGTCTGCTGGTCTCCCTGCCTGGATGGCTGCTAATGCCTCCGAACAGAGCGGAGATGGCCATCCTGTCTTTGCCGTTCCGGCACCCCCCATGCAGGGGCTCCGATCTGAGCCACAGTTCCCCTGGTCACCTTGCTGCACAGGCAAGGCTCACCTCCCCCTGGGCAACACATTGCTCTCTGAGGAACTCTGCTTTGACTGTCTGAGATCAAGTTAAAGCCTTCTTCATTCAAGCTTTCATCATCTCCAGGCTGGACCATGCCTGATACCTCCTTGCTGGTCTTGGAATAGAAATTAAATGATAATTGTCCCCATCGCAAACAATGCAACGGCTTCCGGTTGGACTTGAAATAAAATGCAAGCGCCTGACCATGACCTGCAAGGCCCTTTGTGGCCCTCTTCTTTTCAGAGCAGCCCTTATCAGACTTTTCTTTTCCCATCCAGTCTCAGGACTCATTGCCACCTTTCCAATCGCTTGAACAAGCCAAGTTCATTTCTCCCTCGGGGCCTGATGGTTGTTAAAAGGCTGTTCTTGGAATACCACAAGCCTACCTCGGGATAGCTATCTAGCAAATGGCAACTGGGTGTTCCTGCTCAGCTGGGGGAGGGGACCTTGTGTAAGCACAGTGACTGGAAGATGGATGGACCAGTTGGCAAGTGGGTGAATGGAAATACTGGTGGGTGGTGGTGGGTAGGTGCATGGATGGATGGGTATCCACCCAACAGCCCTTGGTTCAGTCCTTGGTTTTGGCGAATAATGATCCGTGTTGGTACATTCCGTGTGCTGAAATTTTATGTAACAGTTTAGTTTACACAACAGCAAGGGAAATGGGCTTGTCTTTCTGTCCTGGCATAAATTCAGAATCAAGACAAACATCTCAACATACATTTATTTGGTAGTGGCCTTGTTTTCCAGTATCCTATTTTAAAGCTTGCAAGAAAGCTAAGTTGTGCTGTGGTCAATTCTTGCTCTCGAGTTTGAGAGTTCAGTGAGTACTGTGTTCAGGGAGGCTCTGGTAGACCAAGGGAGAAGGGAGATCTGGGGGTGGAGCGCAGTGGCTGTGGGTGCTGGCAGGTTCCATCTTCATAGCTGCCTTGCAGGCATTTCCACCCCCGCCTTTGGGAGCTGCTGCCAGCGGGCTGGCACTGACCTGCAGGCTGGTATCTTGTTGGGACAGATGAGCGAGGGGGAGGAGAGTGAGAATATATCATTTTACAACATGTAAAGTTGAATCCGTATGGAATCGAGCTCCTTAGGGAAAACGTGCTTCAGTATAAAATTCATAAACAAGCTAAACCGTGGGGGTCACCTTCC